TTTAAAATTGGGATATTTTAGGTATTTAGTCAAGGCATTCAATAATTACTGAATTCAGAACTCATTCTAGTTTATTTCATTTGTTACTTGGCTTCACCATTCTGTATCTTCCTACTCAAAGCAAGAATCTCATTTCCACTTTTAATTTAATGTTACTATTATGTAATTTAGCGTTCTGTTTCCTAGAAATAGGTGAATATAACTTTGGATTTTAAAAATACTTTCTTTACCTGGAAAGCTATAAGTGTATTTTACTCTTAAACTAACTAAAATGGGAAAGGTTTTACTCAACCAAAATGTCTTCTAGAAATTATCGATGTTTTAGGAAATCATTTAGTGAAATGTACTCATATTTTTTTGTCAAAAAGTATTACAAGTACCTTTTAGGAAATAGGAGAAATAAAATTACAAAAGAGCATTTCAAAATTGTACCACCTAGAGATAATCTGTTAACTTCTTGGTGTACATACTTTGAAACTTTATGTATACATCTGTGCATGAATTGATAGATATGTACATATGTCATTTATTCAGCAAAAACTTAAGCACTATGCTTTGTGCCCGGCACTGTTTTAGGGTGGCTGTTTAGCAGTGAACAAAACAGGCAAAAATCCCTTTCTTCATGCTACTTAGGTAGGGCGGGGAAAAGGGGGTGACAACAGTAAACAAGTATATGACATGTCAGAGGATGATAAGAGCTATGAAAAAATAGGTCAAGGAAAGGAACAAAGGAGTATAAAGAGAAGGATTCTTTTGTATATATGCTCATCTACTTTAAGACTTTTTCCTGAATGTGCTTCTGTTCAGTTGCATTTTTTCCTTTAAAAAAAAAAAGTAATACAAATACTCTGAACATCCAGTTTTCAGATTCTTTTTTACTTAATAAATTGATGGTTTTTTCCATATAATGAATATTATTCTGAACTATTTACAGGCTACATATATTCCATTTTATAGAGTATGGTCTATTGTCTATATAGCAACCAATGTGATCATTTTAAAACCTTTCAGCCACTCCTGCTCTTCATAAAAGGACAGATCCTTAACATGATCAGTGACTGCATGACAGGGTGTTAATCGTCTGAGCAGATAGCATCTGTTACTCTCCCTCCTCACTCACTGCGCGCTGGCCATATAGGCCAATGTTTGATCCCCTTCCTGTCTTAGAGTTCGCAGATATACATGGAGAAAGCATAAATAAGAATATATAAAGTTACAGTTATACCTCAGTTGTTGAAGAATACTTTTGTAAGACTCAGAAGAACTTAACCATAAATGCTGTATATTATACACTTTTAGGATCCTTAGTACCCTGTTCTTCTTGATCTAACTTTTTATTATAAGAGTTTTCAGGGGTGCCTGGGTGGGTCAGTCGTTAAGTGGCTGCCTTTAGCTCAGGTCATGATCTCAGGGTCCTGGGATTGAGCTCTACATCGGGCCCCCTGCTCAGCAGGAATCCTGCTTCTCCCTCTCCCACTCCCCCTGCTTGTGTTCACTCTCTCACTGTGTCTCTCTCTGTCAAATAAATAAAATCTTTAAAAAATTAAAAATTTGGGAGCCTGGGTGGCTCAGTGGGTTAAGCCGCTGCCTTCGGCTCAGGTCATGATCTCAGGGTCCTGGAATCGAGTCCCGCATCGGGCTCTCTGCTCAGCAGGGAGCCTGCTTCCCTCTCTCTCTCTCTCTCTCTGCCTGCCTCTCTGTCTACTTGTGATCTCTCTCTGTCAAATAAATTAAAAAATAAATAAATAAATAAAAATTAAAAATTAAAAATTAAAAAAAAAGAATTTTCAAACTTAGAAGCTGAACAGCTATATACTCAAACTCATTCCAAAACTGTTCCATGTTTGCTGTATTTTTTCTTATTGTTTAATAAAATATTTTTATAATTGAACCATTTGAAAGTATGTTATGCACATCATGAGACCACCTTAGGGGAAATAATTTTCTTGACTGTTAAAGATAGGAGAAAATTGTGTGAAATATTTTATAAAACAAAAAACTACAAATAAGATTTTTTTTTAAGCAGTAAGTATTCACTCTGATACTGATAAACAAAAATTTGAGTTCACAGTTATGGAAAATGGATAAAACCATAAGGAAAAATCTTTCTACAGAACACTGTTCATACTAGAGAAAGTATAAATGGTAACTACTAAGCATATGGAAGACTCTTTAGCTTTTTTAATAATGAAAGATATATTTGCTACCATATGTTGGAGAGTTAGTAGGTCTCAGGCATTTTTGTCTTAACCACAATTCCATATGGTAGTATACTGTGTACACTTACAGGTAATAAAACATACTGGGTTAAATCTCTTGTCTCAAGTCCTAAAGTCCTAGAGCTACTAAACCCATCGTGCCAACAATTCCAACCCAGAGCCTCTGGATTACCAAAGTCCACGTTCTTAACCAGCTCTCTATATTGCCTGTAAAAATCAAAACACTTTAGAGGTCCCACTTCCCACCTAGAAAGTAACTTACGGTTCATCTAGAAAAATAAACGAGAAAGCCAGGAATATTCAGAAAAAGAATTACCATGGAGGAATTGCCTTACTAGATAATAAAATGTAGTATGAGGCTAAACTTTACGTTAAATACTGGCATGAGAGACAGTTTGGGTAGAGTAGGAAAAAAGCTTAGGAATACTCTCAGATGCAAGGGAATTTTATTCTGTGATACAGGTACATTTATAATCATTAAGGGGAATAGATTTTTTTTTTTTGCATGACAGTAGAACAAGTGGCTTGCCATTATCTCTCCTTATACAAAAAAAAGATAAACTGTATTTCTCACATGTTCTCTTACATAAGAAATTATGATAGAGTAATTATTCTGAATTAGGAACAAAATGCAAATTAAGAATACTGTACCTTGCTTTCCCACGCCCTCCTTGAGTTTGGTATGTATATGGGGCATAGGTTAAAGAAAATTTGTCTTGACATTTGAAGGAATCTGAGAGTAGAATAAGTATACATGTGACTGATTTCCCAGCTGGAGCTTACAGAGGCACCCTTTGTCAATAGATTAGGGCCAGTAGATATAAGAACAAACTATACTAAAGTATAAGAGGGTACGTTTAGCCATTAGAGAGCCCAAATCAAAGATCAAATTAAGTTATAAAAATGAGAGTATTTGTTTACACCCTAGTTTTTGACTGTACAATTTATACCTGTTATTAAGCATGACAAAATCATAAGGGAAAAGATTAATGTGACTAATAGAGCTTTTTTGCATGGAAAAAGTAAACAAAATGAAAAGTCACACTTCAGGAAAATATTGGGAAAATTTATTACAGGGGGCTAATTTCCTTAATATTAAAAAGGAGATAATATATTTAAATGTTGAAGACGAAAAGTAGTTCTTTTGAAAATGAGCAAACAGCAGTAACATTTAAGAAAAAAGTCATCATTATAAAAAAAAATTAACCTAAAATGACAAGATGGGTGATTTTAAAATTTAAAAGAGTCTTTACAAAGATATTATAAGGACGGGCGCCTGGGTGGTGCAGTTGGTTAAACATTCACCTCTTGGTTTTGGCTCAGGTTTGATCTCAGGGTTATGAGATCGAGCCCCACGTAGAGTCCATGCTCAGTGCCGAGTCTGCTGGAGATTGACTCACTCTGTCCCTCCCACTCGTGTGCTCATGCTTTCTTTCTCTCAAATCTTTAAAAAAAAAAAAAAAAAAAAAAAGATATTACAAGGAATGATAGTGTATGTTGTTGGAACCTCATTATGCCCTTTGAGGACTTTTTTGTAGTTGTCCTACAGATGTTTTTACAAATCCACAAAGATGTTTTGTATATAATAGTACAGGTATGATTTTTGTAGCATTCAGGGATAAGAACAGGCATTTAGGTTGTCTCCAGGGGATTTTTTCCAATTAATTAGTGTCTCGTTACATTATGGTACATCCATATAGTGGAATACAGTGCAGCTGCTGCAAAAGTTGTAGGAGTGTCATTATAGAAGGATCTCCAGGATCTAGCTAGTGAACCAAAGCCCTAATGATAAAGCTCAGATATGTTGCATGGTAGAATTCTTTATGACTTTTAAATCCTATATGAATATATATTTTTAATTAAAATAGGGTACTTGTGAGAACCGGAATTTTCTGTTTTCATACCATTGGAATACTTTTCATCTCTGAACTTATATTTTATATGTTTTTTAAAAGCTAGTTTAAATTTAATGAAGTGTTTACCAAAATTCAGTGATGATAGGGCTGACTAAGAACAGATATTTTTATGGCAGCTGGTGGTACCACAAATGGCTAAAATCTTCCTGTGTGGTGACTAAACCAGAGTTTACTTGAGTACCTGTTATATACTAGGTATTATACTAAACATTTTTTGCACATTTATCTTACTTAAATCTCCAGCCAGCACTATAAAGTAGATTATTTTTCTCATTCTATAGGAAACAGATTTAGAAGACTAAAGTGTCTTTCCAGGAGTCACAGAGTCTGGAAATTCATAAGGGGTTATTGAGACAAAAGACCGGATTTGAATGTATCAGTTTCATCAAATAAAAATGGAAAGGATACTCTGCCCTCCTTTGAAAAGATCGTATTAGTTGGTTTGTATGAAAGTGCTTTCCAGATTTATGGAGCATTCTGTGTAAAGGAGATTAGAATAATTTTTTTTTAATCATCCATGGTCTGCTTTCTTCATACAAACGTAAATGTTTTAACCGTTTTTTCTTTGAATCTCATCTGTAAAATGCAAACTCAAAGTAACAGTTTAGTTAGTTTTTTGGAATCTTTAGTATAATTTAACTCAATTTCAGTATTGTACATTTCCTAAATTGAGGAAGTATGTGGTCTAACAAAACCTTAATTCTGCTTAAAATGTGCTTACCACTAATTGTATTATTAGCATCCTCTCAAGGCTACTAAAATCCTTCTGGTTTTAAAACATATGAACAAAAACATCTTAATACGGCTATACATTCTGATTACTATTTTTTGAATATATAAACTTACTTTTTCTTTCTGTTTCTAGGAACACCATCTTCAGCGGGCTATTTCAGCACAGCAGGTATATGGCGAGAAGAGGGATAATATGGTCATACCAGTCCCAGAAGCAGAAAGTAATATTGCTTACTATGAGTCTATATATCCTGGGGAATTTAAGATGCCAAAGCAGCTCATTCACATACAGCGTAAGTAATTACTCTTTTAATTATTACATTTTCTATAGCTATTTTCTGCTTAACTCTTGACACATTTTTACCTGTTCAAGGCCATCTTTGGTGCCCATTTTCAACTTTTAAAATTGAGATTTCTGGGGCGCCTGGGTGGCTCAGCGGGTTAAAGCCTCTGCCTTCGGCTCAGGTCATGATCCCGGGGTCCTGGGATCGAGCCCCACATCGGGCTCTCTGCTCAGCAGGGAGCCTGCTTCCCTTCCTCTCTCTGCCTGCCTCTCTGCCTGCCTCTCTGCCTGCCTGTGATCTCTGTCTGTTAAATAAATAAATAAAATCTTTAAAATTGAGATTTCTGCCTGACAACAGAGATGGCATTTTCATCCTAAGTTTTTGGTTTCATCTCAACATGTGATCTTATACTACTTTAGACAAATAGGATAAAGAATATACCTGAGATGTAGAAATGGTTTTCTTACTATTCAAAAATAATGGGGGCTCCTGGGTGGCTCAGTCGTTAAGCATCTGCCTTTGGCTCACGTCATGATCTCAGGGTCCTGGGATAAAGTTCTACGTTAGGCTCCCTGCTCAGCGGGAAGCCTGCTTTCCCTCTCCCACTCCCCCTGCTTGTGTTCCTTCTCACTGTCTCTCTCCCTCTGTCAAATAAATATACAAAATCTTTAAAAAAGAAAGAAAGAAAGAAAGAAAGACAGAAAAGAAAAAGAAATAGTGATATGAGTAGCCTTAAAGAACATCTTAGTAAAAGTCGCGCACCAGCAAACTTTTTCTAAAAAGGGTCAGTGTTTATCTTAGCCTTTTTGGGTCATTCAGTCTGTCACAGGCCTTCAGCTGTACTGTTGAAAGAAAGGCAAAATCAGCAGTTGACAGTAAGTAAACAAATGGGCATAGCTATGTCTCAGGAAAATTTTATTGAGAAAAAACAGATGGCAACCCAGTATTGGCCCATGGACCAATAGTTTGCCAACCTCTGATCTGTGATCCTGCTAGCTTTTAGTGTTCTAGGTGGTAACTGGTTTCACTTGGTAGTGATGAGTTCTTCATTAGCACTAATCCTTCGATGGCTATCACCTTTGATGGTGAATAACTGAGAGCTTACAAACTTCAGAGAATACATTTCATTTACTCAGTCCCCAAGTAGTTGACAACTTTAAAACATAGTTGAAAGTTTACTAAGGTAAGAGGCGCCTAGGTGGCTCAGTCGTTAAAAAAAAGTTTACTAAGGTAAGAGGCGCCTGTGTGGCTCAGTCGTTAAAAAAAAGTTTACTAAGGTAAATTGGGACAGCTTTCATTGTTGTGTGGTTGACCTTTCTAATGAAGAGGGTTTTCCAGTGACCTGTCTAAACTTTTTTCAGGACCATGTAAATGTGTGCTGTTTTTAGAAATTATTTAAAACTACTTAACTACTTTTCTCATTTAACCTTTCCTCCATATGATCTAGTTTCTGTCAGGGATTCTAAATATTTATTTTACTATTTGTTAAATACAAAAATCCAAAAATAAACATAGTGCCTGTATTGGCTCTTATCAGTACTGTATTGGCATTTGCTATTTTTAACTTCATGTTTTTTCCTCTTTAATTCTAACTTGCACCTTAATTTATTGATTTCATTTCGAAGAAAATATTTTTTTCTAATTTACTAAAGGTTACTTTGAAGTGAACTAAAATAAAGTGGTATGTGCTTTCTTCCCCACTCACATGTTTAATACATATAGGACATAGACACAGACATCTTAAACAAATTTGACCAATATTAATCAAATTATTATTAAATTATTTATTATTATAAATAATAGTATATAGCTAATAAAATTATTATTAAATTAGTAATCAAATAACAGCAATAAAATGGCAGCAGAATTATAGTTTATTTGGGGAGAAAAGTAATTAGTACAAATTTGAAGTATGTTGTCTCTGGAAAGATATATACATTGGAATATTAATCAAGATAGTCTGCTAATTAGTATTAACTACCATTGAGTTTCTTTTAATATTTTGTTTTAAATAATTATAAATTCACAGGACAGTATATTTAGCTTTGTATACCTCAATCAAGATAACTCAACTGTACCATTGCCACCAGATTCCATGTGTTACTCCTTTATAGCCAAACCTAGACCCTGGCAACCACTAATATGTTCTCCATTTCTACAATTACATCAGTTCATGATTATAACATAAACAGAATCATGCAGTGTATTTCCTTTTGAGATTGGCTTTTTTTCACTTAGCGTAATATCCTTGGTATCCGTCCAACTTGTTTCATGTAATACAGATCATTTCTTCTTCTTGGTGAGTAGTACTCTATAATATGTTTGTTTAACCATTGACCCAGTGAAACAGTTGAATAGTTTCTAGGTTTTGACTATTACAAATAAAGCTGCTATGAACATTCATCTGCAAGTTTTTGTGTGAATGTAAGTTTTTACTCCTGGAATAAATACCTTCGAGTTCAGGTGCTGGGTCCGTTTTTAGTTTGACAAGAACTTCCATAGTATTTCTGAGAGTATCTGTGCAGTGTTACATTATCTCGAGCAGTGTGTGTGTGATCCAGTTTCTCCTTCTGTATTATTGTTGGCAATTGGAGTTATCACTTTTCTACTTTAGCCATTCTAGTAGGTATGCAGTGATATCTCATTGTACTTTAAATTTGTATTTCTCTAAATGGCTAATATGTTACATATCTTTTCATGGGTTTATTTGCCATCTGGTGAAATGATTGTGCATGTGTTTGCCCGTTTTCTAATTAGATTATTTTAACAATTGAGTTTTAGGATTCTTTTATTTATATATTCTAGACATAAAGTCTTTGTCATACATGTAATTTGGAAATATTTTCTCTCATTATATAGTTTGTCTTTTCATTCTCTTAGTAGAGTTTGTCACAGAGAAAAAGCTTTTTATTTTGATGAGATCAAGTTTAATCAGTTTTCCTCTTACAGATCATGATTTTGTTACCAACTCTAAGAACTCTGCCATTCCCTGGGTCTGAGTTTCTCCTGTGTTCTGTTCTAGAAGTTTACAGTTTCACGTTTAAGTGTATGATCAGTTTTGAGTGTGTGAGGTTTAGGTCAGGGGGGGTTTGTTTTAGGTTTGGTTTTGGTTTTTACCTCTGGATGTGCAGTTGTTCCAGCATCATTTATTAAAACAGCCCTCCCTCCTTCACTATTTGCTTTTGCTTCTTGGCCAGAAATCATTTAGGCATATTGATATGGATCCATTTCTGGGTTCTGTGTTCTATTCCCTTGATTTCTGTTTATTCCAAGATAATACCACTGTTTTGATTACTGCAACTTTATAATAACTCTTAATATCAGGGAGAGTCATTCCTTCTTTATTTTTCTCTTTCAAAATTGTCTTGGGTATTCTAGAGCCTTTCCATATAAATATTACAATAAGCTTGTCTGTGTCTACAGAGAAACTTGCTGATATTTTGATAAGAATTAGATTAAACCTATAGATCACTTTAGGGGAATTGACATCTTTACTATGTTGAGGTTTCAGTCCATGACCACGGTATGACGCTGCAAGTGTTTAGTTCTTTGATTTCTTTCATTAACACTTTATAATTTTCATCATATATATTCTGACCATGTTTCTTTAGATTTATAACTGAATGTTTTATTTTCTTGGAGCAATTGAAAGTGGTGTTGCATTTTTTATTTTGGTTTCCACTTGTTCATTGTCAGTATACAGAAATGCAGGTGAAATTATTTATCTTATGTCCTATGGCCTTAACTGAATTGCCTATTAGCTCTAGGAGATGTTTGCAGATTCTTTGGGTTTTTTTCACGTAGACAGTCATGGTGAAGTCTGCAAATAAATACAATTTTGTTTGTCCTTTTCAGTCTCTCTGTCTTTCATTTCTCTTTCTTCCATTACTATAGTGGCTAAAACTTTTAGTACAATGTTAAAATATAAGTGGTGAGAGCAGACATCTTTGCCTTGTTCCTGATCTTAAAAGGAAATAGTTAAGTCTTTCAACATTATGTATTATATTACCTGTAGGTTTTTTGGTATTTGCTTTTTATGAGATTGTCATATATGTGATTTGGAAATCTTTTCTCCCAGTGTATAATGTGTCTTTTCATCCTCTTAACAGAGTCTTTCACAGAGCAAAAGGTTTCTTTGCTGAGATCTGGTTTATAGATTGGGTTTTTTATTCTTAATGTACCGAGAGTTATCATGAATCGGTGTTCAATTTTGTCAAATACTTTTTTTACATCAATGGATAACATCGTGTGATTTTTCTTCTTTAGCCTGTTGATACGTTAAGTTACACTGGTTGATTTTCAGATACTGAACCAACCTCACATACCTGGAATAAATCTCACTTGACTGTAGTGGGTTTTTTTGTTTTTTTTTTTTATACCTTGTTGGGAAGGATTTTATTGGATTTTATTTGTTTTATTTTATTGAATTTTGCATCTAGGTTCATGAGAGATTGTTTGGCTATGTACATGTGTGTGTGCATATGTGCATGTTCTGTATTATTTGGTTTTAGTATCAGTGATAGTGGCCCCATAAAACAGGTTGGAAAGTGTTCTCTTATTCTGTGTTGTAGAAGAAATTGTGTAAGATTTATGTTAATTCTTTAAAAGTTGGTATTGGCTTTTAATACACTACAATAAATAAAAAATTATTAGAGTATAGATTTCTGCAAAGTTAAAATTGAATTTTGTCTGCCAGGTGGTCTAGTGAATTCCTTACAAAGTATATGTTACCTGAATTATATATATGGACTGGTTTATTTTAATTTCCCGAATTTCTATTGTGTAAATCTCTTAAGCTAATGTTACACAAACTCTCCATGGGAGTTTTTAAAAAGGTGATAATTACTATTCTCTAAAAAAAAAAGCAATGGTCAAACATGTTTGAGAATGATTGCATATTTTATTCCCTTACCTGCCCCCTGAGTCATAAGGCATATTATCATATTTATGATATTTATATCTATAGGCTCTAGAAGTCATGTGGCTTAAAAAAATTTTTTTAACCCAGC